CCGCCACCACCATCATTACCACCACTATTGTCACTGTCGTCACCCCCACCACCACATTTGTAATAACCACCACCACCATCGCCCCTCGGCCCCCCATTACCACTAACTCACAACCATCATTGTCACCACTGCCACCAGCATTGCCACCACTATCACCAGCATTGCCACAGTCGCCACCCCCCCACCATGTCCACCACCGTCGTCACTCACTACCGATTGTTAACACTGTCACCACTTATTACTATCATCATCTCATTTTTATATTTATTACTATTACAATCATCATCCCACAACTACCATCGCCTGTTGCCACCCACCCACCCGCCACCATCGTTGCCCACTGCCTTCTACTACCACAACCCACCACCACCCGTCATTGCCAACTACTGCTGCCACCCATTATTACGTACACCTCACCACACCAACCACCACCACCACCACCCATCATTGTTTATTGTCGCCACCACCCGCTATCACCCATCACCACACCTATCACCACCACTGCCCTTCTCCACCACCCACCACCACCATTGCCATAAACACCCATCAACGCTCACCACCACTCACACCCATTACCACCACAACCCACCATTGTTGCCGTCGTCGCCCCACTATCACCCATAACTGCCACTATTACCATCGTCACCCAAAAACTACCACCACCACCACAATTGTTGTTGTCCCCTATAACCATCACTATCTCTCCATCACCACTGTCGCCCATCACCATTCACCCCCACTAGAACTGGTGATTAAATTCTTTTTTCTTTTCCTTTATGTTTGTGATTTAATTTTTGGTATGAATACAAATATATTTATGATTGACAATTTTTTTTATTAAAGGCACGGGCAATAACTTAATTATATGAGATTCATTTGTTCATGTGCTACCTTATTAATGAACAATTACACTGTGTCAACGAGATGATATGGTGTAACTGTTACACCCATTTTTTTTTTTTTTTCATTCTCTCTTCCAACGACATTGTTATGCTGTAATGGTAAACTCTTTTGTGTAATAATAAACTCAATTTGATATAACTATGTTATGATACCAAATGGTGCAACGATTTGATTTATATAAATAACTAAATAACAAATTGAGTTAGTGTTGTAATTTTGTATAATTATTTGGTATAACTGTTTGATTTATCAGAATACATGAGTAACTATTTAGTGTAATATATGACAATTGTAACTAATTGATGTAACTGATTAGTATAATTGTGATTTTGTAACGTTGATATAAGGAGAAAGAGGGAAAATAAATAGGGAAAGAGTAAACGCATATAGTAGTGTTTTAAAACCCGACCTAGTTTGGCGGATTGATCTGGTGAACCAGTGTCTGAACCGGACCGGTTCATTCATTATATCGTTTCTGCAGAAGAGCTGGATTAAACCCGCTGACCCATGCAACCAGGACGAGTTTAATCAAACCGGCCGAATCATTTCATTTTATATAAAAGGCTAATATTTGGGCATTTTGCCCTAAATCCATAAATCGACTCGTCCAACAAGTCGAACGAAGAAGACCAGCCTCTGCCTCTGCCTTTTCGCAACAGTCGAGTAGTAGACAACCTTCTCAAGCTCTCGGTCCAGTCTTTTTCTCTTTCTCTCTCTGAGTTTCAGACTTTCAGATTCAGCCTCTCATCTCAAGTCTCAACCTCAGTTCTCTCTGTGTCTCTGACGCTGCGAGCAAGCAAGGGAAGAAGGCTTCAAAGCTCCTTCTCATCGAAGCATCGACGACCATTGACAGCAGTAGGTACACTGTGTACTCTCTCTCTCTCTCGTTCTCTGTGTCAGTCTCTCTCTCTCTACTCTCTAACATGTACACAGTTGACAGAGTGTGCCCTAATCGGCTAATCTGCTATATTTGATTTTTGATTTTGATACATTGAATCTTTGATAATGCTATGAGCAAACATGCGATTATAAGTAGTTAAGTATTGAGCTTTGAAAGATTTTACATTATAATGGAATAATTTTATTGAAAATAGTTTAGAGCTTGTGAAATTCTCCTTGTGAGATTGTTTGACTGAACTGCCTAAATTCTCCTTGTGTATGAGCTGTATTATTTTTATTTGTTGGGGTTTATATTTTATTTATTGTCTTGTATCTTAGACTCTTAGTTTATATTTTAAAGTTTAAAGTTAGTTTGTTGTGTTGTGGGGTTTAATTACTTGTGGCTTTTTGGTTTACACGTCTTTGAGTTTGAACTTTGAAGAGTGCAAATTACATGGATTATGCTTAGATTGAAGCATTGTCAAAGAGTTAGATTTGGACTTGGAGCCTTGAACTTTAATAGAGGTATTTTTCTCTACTTAACTTTACAAATTGTATTGAAAACTGAATACTTTGAAATTGGATTCATGGTTGATGTTATTTTTATAATTATTGTGATTTTTTAGCCTATTTATTAGTATTTATAATTATTTTTTAATTTTTTATTATTTTAATGGTCCGACTAATGACCCAACAGTTGAAACAGTGGCCCATTGATCCGGTTCCTTTGTCGGGTTAATGTCCGAGTCGGGTTTTAACATTATGGGATAGAGAGAGAGAGAAATGAAAAAATTAAATCAAATCAAATCTTTACATATTTGAAAATAAAATAAATTATCAATGGAGAGAGAGATAGAGAGAAAATAGGGAAGAGAGAGCGAGAGAATAATGGAGTAATGAATGACTTTTTAGCTTTTTTTTCTAATTTTAAAAATACACTTAAGGTCAAATAAGTTTCCTTAATATAATTTAGCTCAATTAAATCCAAATTTTTGTACTGGTTTCCAAATTTGTGGCTTAGATTGCCCGACCTCGTTTTTGTTTTACATGGACCAACCCAAGCCCACATGATTAATGCTTGCAGCATTGCTCAGTCCACACCAGTAATCCACTGCTTGTTGCTGCTCCTGCTTTTTCTTCCCCCCCCCTCTCTCTCTGTCTCTCTTGGTAATCGATATTGACTGATATTTGTGAGATATGGAGATATTAATCTTGTTGTTTACATTAATATAGGTAATTTGTGCGAGTGAGTGTTTTTCTGTATGTGTAGTTTTTTATATGACCTCCATATGTTTGATATATTACCCCAAAGACCAAAGCTGTGTATGTTAAGAAGCCTCATTCTTATATTCAGTATTTCTTTTTTAACTATGAGCACAAGTATGTCTCCCTCTCTCCAAAGTTTGGAAAAAATCTTATCTTTGTGTTTGGTATGAATCAAGTTCTTTACTTCATTTATTTGTGTATGTTTATTTACAGGAGATGTTGTGGTAATTAAACAATCGGAATGAGGAAGTTGAAGGTGGTTTGGAGTAAAGTGTATGATTACGTACGTTATGATCTGAAAGAAATTGCATTCCCTTCATCTTTGCCTGATCCACCTCATATCAAAAAGCGTCGAAAATTAACGTGGAAGGAGCGGTATCTTGTGAGTATCTTTGTTGATTACAAGTAGAAGATTTTGTCAAAGTATCGTTGTGGTCTTTATTTTTGTTGCTGTGTGCAGTTTATGGTTTTGAACGAGCTTTGTTGTTCTTTTGTTTGGTTGATCACAAATGACCTTTGTTCCGTTGTTGTTCGAGCAACTGAAGCATTTAGGACTAAAAAAATTAAGCTCTTTTTAGTTTTTCTACTAATTGCAGTAAGATCCTCGTGTACTTTTTCTTGTTTCATCAATTTTCTGTTCAAGCTTGGTCAATGATAGAGTGTATTAGATTAAATTCTCAAAGAACCAGTACTTCATCTCATTTATGACATGAATATGCTTCAATAATAAGTGCATATTACTATCTGTAATTGCTCTTCAGGTGTTGAAAGAAGCATCTAGGCTTTATGCTGCTAGTTGGGTAAGGGATATTGGTCCTGATCTTCGGCCAAATGATTATAAGAAGGAGGACAAAAGTGAAGGCAAGCCTAATGGAGTAAATGGTGCAGCTAAAGATAGAGAACCCTCCATGTTAGAGGATCTTGGTGAGAAACCCCTGTCATGCAGTTTTGAGAAATTCTGGTTGATAGCTTGATGAATGCATTATTTTATGCTATATAGGTATCATGCTTCATATGCTTTATACGTGTGTGAGGCTGCCTTTAATGTCTGAAGAATCTACTGTTTGACCGAATTGGATACCAAAATGTAAAATTTTGGAACCATACCAAAAACTTAAAAACACTCCAATAGTAAGTTCTGCCCCAAAAATGTGATAAACTGAACTCTTACCTAAAAAGTGGTAAGTGAACCTAAAAAATAATAAATGAACCCAAAAAGTGAGTGCATCCAAAAGTTAGTAATTATTACCCGTTGGTATAGATACTTAGAAAAGCGTGGTAAGTGATACTTTGGTACCGTAGCCAAACCCGTATGGGAGTTCTGTTTCAGAGCGGAGTTTGATGTGGGACAGGGGTGATTATAAGACCCATGGTTCATCACTACAAATATATGTCCCAATAAAACTAGATTCATCAAATTACCCATGGTTTCTAAATACAAGGGAAATTGTATAAAATAAACCTGACCAATAACACAATTACCTATAAATAAGCATATACTAGGGCTTTACTGATTATCTATCTCGTTTATGCATGATTCAAATGGCCTGTTTTGAAATGTTGAGCTGAATTGTAAAGTTTCTCTTCTTTGAATCTACACTTTGTTGAGGTTTTTGTGGACTTCTTTGTACCATCTTTCAGCAGTTATTATTATCATTGGTAGTATATGACCAACCCCCTCCTCCAAAAAAAAAAAATCTGTCTCTTATCTTATTGCTTTCATTTTTTGAACTTGTTATAAGTTTGTGGTGAATTCTGACATTTTTTACTATCATTTACTTGCAATAAACTTCACAGCGGTGGCTGCAAGGGGTGGGATGGAGACACTAAAGCCAGCTTTGCAGCGTGTGTACATGACAAGAGCATCTGCATATAAAGATGCACTTAAAAGTTTCATAGAAGGGTATCAAGAAGGTATACAACGAGTCATGGAGAAGAAGGAAAATTTTAAATCTCAGAAGGAAGAGGATTCCCCAAAATGATCAATTTGAACAGTCTAAATGGAATTTCCTCAATTGTCACAAGATATACAGCTTTGATTTAATGCTTTTTCTGGGGCTTTTTCTGGGAATATATAAGTTGTGGTTTTTATATTGTAAACAAAATATCAATGCTAAGCAGGATCTGCTGTGTATACATCATCCATTTCCTGTAATGATTTGTGCTAACATATGATTTGGGTTTTACATCTGTTGCACTTCCTATATGTTATGTGCTTTTTTATGCTTGCAAATAGAAGTCATCTGAAAAAAAAGTTGTTGAACAATCACAACAGATACACTTTGCTAATAAACCTGTGGTGACTTCCAAAATATATTTTCTGAAGTATTTACTTAAATTGCACAACATGATGTGAGAATGAATTGTGATTTCTCGAATACCTGAAAATTGGTAATTTGAACTACATCAGTGACAGGTAGTGTGCTCTTCAATCTCTAGAGGGAGGGTTGGTTTTTTTGTATTGCTTGTACTATTCTCAAAGCAATTTTTCATGAAAACCTATGCATGCCACTTTTGTGAAAATCAATTGTTTTTCTTTCTCCTATTAATTTCTTATATTTTCTCCCACTGTTTCTCCAAGGGAATAGGAGTATACAAGTATTCATGGAGGCTTTAGTTTTCTATAATTTCTAATAAAACAAACAAAATTGTACTCATTGTTGTTCAAGATGAAACTATTGTTTGAGAAAGCAGATAAATGGCATGTTTCTTGGTGAAATGACTTGGTATCTGCTTGAGTCTGATGGGTGATGTTTTTGTTGTTCAGGTTGGGGTGATTCGTGAAGCTTAAAAATCATTATAGGAAGCAATTTTATTGCTGCTGCTCTAATTTCACCATCCTTTTTTGCCATCTTAAAGGACCACTGGATATCTGTTTTGATTATAATTGCAGGCACTTGTTTAGGATTGAACCATAGACAGCAGGGGTGAGAATCAATATTGTGTAGGGGTTAGATTGAAATTGTAGGTGAATGGGGAGTTTGAACATAGGTCAATGTGCCCAAAGGTCGATGACGAAATGATATGCCATCACATTGGAGAGTAATATGAAGTTGAAATTGGATTGGGATTAAGTTGGAGTAGGGTTAAGTTGCAGAGTTGCCTGATCACAAGATTGAAATCATTGTAAGAGGTAGCCATCAGTTTGCTTACTTTGGGATGGTTTTTATTAAACGATGAAACCATCTGGGCTGGTTGTGGTATTTCCTTTTAGTAAATTGTTGGCAGATTCATGGAGTGGCTGCTTTATGCAAGCACATGACACCGAGGTTCGCCTTCCATTTGCCCTGTACTTTTGCAGCAGTGGTGGATCCTTAATAAGGCATCAGGGTTCATCCTTTGTGTTCAACAACTTGCCCTTGTACCTAATATGATAAGCACAATATGCAGGTATTTCAGTAGTTTCTCTAGTATGTAAGTTATGCAGGTACACACTCCTGAATGAGAACTATGCACATATGGAAGTAAGTTATCTTTGACGATTGAAGTGTGTTTTGGTGATTCTGAGCTGTCTAGGATTTATCTTCTTTCTGTCAATGCTGATATTAACATCTTGACTTAGCTTTTCTTTCTGATGGGATTCAATTTTGAAGTGAGATGAGGGTTTTCATTTCTTTATTTGTCAGGTGCAAGAGGAAAGGAGTTGATTGACTCAAGCTCAAAAATCAAAATTCCTGGCAAGAAAAAGTGCCAAGTGGATGAAGAAAAATATTCACTTGGTCTTTAAATGTTTATAATGTACTTGAGCATTAATGATTAAGCATCTTTTGCAACACAGACACTATACCAGAGGAGTCCCTTCAATGTTGCAGTTTGTTATGGGCTTAAGGTACCCAACTAATCCTTCCAAGTATTGAAAATTATGGAAATATGAATATGCCTCAATTTTTGGTTACTGTTCATGATTTTCAGTCTAGATTATTTGATTCTAGTTTCTCTGTTGAGTTAAAGAACAAGAAATTGTCTCACTACAAGGAAAAGGAAGACAACAAAGGAAAATAATGAACTGATCTTTCCTTTTACTTGTTTCTTTCACTGCTTGAGGTCAGTTATGATTCAAAGTTCTTAAAACACGCTTATAACTTGAGATGAAAAACCCAAAAAAAAAAAAAAAAAACCCACAGGCTAGTTTTTCTTTATATCCTTCCATTCAGTAGATGACAAATTGGAAAACTGTAAGTCAACATTAAGCTTTCCACAAAAAAACAAAGCTTTGAGCGAGAGTAGTTGTGTGCTGGACATGAAAAGCAAATCCTGAGATATGTTGACTCTAAAGAGAAGGATCAGCCAAGCTGTGGTTGTACTGAGATATCCATTTTGCTATGATTTTCTCCTCTCTTCTTCTCACATCCATAAGCCATTCTGGGTCTTCGCTTGTTGAGAATCTAAGGTCTACATGGTGTGCCCCTGTTGTAAATCAGCAGAGTCTATCATACAACAGATTGCAAGAGATACTGAGAGTTGTAGTCAGATTGTTATGATGTTCAATCATAGTATCTTTCATGTTGCCTTGTTGCTTAATGCGTAGTAGTTATGTTAGGATTAGAGGTGGCAATGGACTGTGTTTTATCTGGTTCGTGTTGTATCTAGATCGTGTCAAACAAAGTTTACTAAATCCATAGTCAATCCATTCATAGTTGTATATAATAGAGTTTGTGGTGTGTCGTGTTCATGTCGTAGATATGTCATACTTAACCAAGTTCAAAATCCACTTGTTTAATGGCTTGAACATGCTATGCAATCTGCATCTGAGACACCAAGGTCTGAGGAAGCCTTTGACAAAATTGACCCATCATTGGCTTCATTTTCCCTTTTGCCTGCACCTATTGTCTATGTACTCCACAACTTATGGGTCCAACCACCACACTGGGACAGAAGATACTTTTCAATATGGTATATTTTATTTTCCATGTTTTTTTTTAATATTATTGTTTTTCTTAAATTCATTATTGTTACGATCAGTGGTTGCAAGCGAATTAAGGCAAAGTTTATGGCTGACCAAAAAATTTGAGTACGGTAATGCTTTCCCTCTCACCCGTCATGTACCCCATACATATTGGTTACTGACCTTCTTTGGCAACTATGGCAATAATGCTCTTTGAAATATTCTTCAGCACCCTGCAAGAAATCACAAGGACATTATGACAAATGAGACAGAGCTGCAAGAAATCACAAAGAAAGTAGGGCTGAGAGAGAGAGAGAGAGAGAGAGAGAGAGGTACCCTCCACTACTCCAAGGGTCTCTTAATCCATTAAAGAATATAATATTGCTCCCAAACCGCTTCAAGACTCTCTCAATATTCTGTCAAAGTGAGACCAATTTGGAAATTTGAGCATTGTTTGTTGGTTGCAATAATACTAATCAAAATAGAGTGTCACATGATCATAAGTAAGGTTATTAATCGAGTCGAGTTTTGAAACTGAATTTGCTTGTTTTTTTAAACGATTTTAAAAAATTATTTAATCTTTGCTAATTTAAAAAACAAGTCGAGCTCAAAGTGCGTTAAATTCAAATCGAATTCGAATAATTTAACTATTTTACATATAAATGAATTAAGTTTTATAAATTCAAGTCAAGTTTTTTAATTTTATTTTTTCAAATGAATTTAAAAAATTGTTTAAACTCTGAATTACAGTTGAATTTTAATGAATTGAATTCGAGTCAACTCTGAATAATTTGGCTCGATTACCAGGACTAATCATATGATATTTATGTTTGCAAAAGTACTCACATGGCCACCAAACTCAGTAGTAATCCAGTGGGGCCTGGGCACGACTCCGTAGTATTCTTCACAGGATTTGGCTTGATCCCCATAGTTCGACTCGGAGGCCGGAAATATACTCTCCTGGTTGTTACCACCTATTGTCATTACCATTTCTGTACATGCCTGAAACAATCCCAAATGTTCAGATCTTCCATCTACTTGTTTATCAAATTCTATGGCCTTTCATCAAATGCAGTTTCATTATTTGATATTGTACCTCTACCTTTCGACTAATTAAAAATATGTCACGTATATATATTTTGTTATTTTTTAAATCAATGATCATAGATCATTCAATTTAAAATTGACAGAAATCCGTACCGATTCCTACTTCCATAGTCTTGCCCTCATTCTTAGCAAAAAATTTAGTACATATTATTATTACACTATACTGAAAGGATACATAATTTTTTTTTTTTCTGGATGAATACACATAAAAGGATGCTCGAATACTTTGCACATACTTTATCTAACATCGCATTGCATGCAATCGTAAGAAATAGAATTCACAAAAGGGTAAATCAGTTTGTCCCACGAATAATTTTTTTTCTCACGTTGTCCCTTCAAAAAAATAAAAACGTTGCAATGTGATTCACCGTCTTATTTTAGTTTGGTCGTTCGTTTGCAATATGCATTATTTCTGATAGGTTGATTATACACAAAACGAAAGAACGATCAAACGAAAATAAGACGGCTGAAATATTGTAATGTTTTTATTTCTTTGAAGGAATAATGTAAAAAAATTAATCATTTATTTAGAATAAATTGAAATTTTTTGTTTCTTTCGGGGGACAAAATGCGATTTTCCCATCACAGAAATAAGGGTGGAAAGACTGTTGTACCTGCCATCCCCATCCAGCAAGGCCGTGTGGATCTGAATCATCGTTTAGATCAAAGCACGTGGCATTACCAGTTTAGTTATAGTAGATGCTAGCTGCCGTACAACTTCTCGAAGGGGTCATTCCCAGCCTTTGGATCGTCAATTGCCTCACACATCTGCGTGCAAATAATGGTATACAACAAGAAAGTCAAATGACTCTTTTGCCCTTTCTAAATAATGAAGAAAAATTATCATAAAAAAGACTACGTGGCCACGCCATCTAGTTATTACTAGGGATAATTCGTGTTTGAAGACACAATACAATATAAATTAATCAATTAAGTTAGAGAAGTGAAGAGTGAAGATCCGAGAGAAAGAGTGAGGAGAGAAAGGTAAAATTCATTATAAATGGTTTTGAGAGGGATGTTGGTGGTCATTGGATAAGTCTATTTGAGACCATTGAATGAATTTATTAAAATCTACCATGTTTTATATTATAGATTATTTTTTTAGAGAATATATCAAATAACATATCATTAAATCGGTTATTAGGTCTAAATAGTGCATTATTACTTTATTACTAAAACTTTCTTGTACCTCTCCTAATTGTAAATAAATGGGCCCACAGAAGAATTAAATTAGGATTTTGATCTCCAATTTTGTATTTCTTCAATTTGTTCAATGATAAATTGTTCACCTTGAATTGGCAGGGACTCATAATCTCAAGAGATAATTTAAGTGGTAACAATGACAAGTTATAAATTTAGACTTCTTAAATTCGAATTTTAGTAATTTTTTGAGATCAGACTATAAAAAATTTAATCGAAATGATCTGCATTTGACCAAACCGAAGAGGAGATTAATTGAAATGAGCATAAGCTGACTCACACACCCCTGATTGTTGGAAAAAAGAAAAAAAAAGAAGATAATGACTCACTCAAATATAATGAGTTCAATTTAATTTTGTGATAAGTGATCTAATATTGAGAGATCAAGTAAATTAGAGAAAAATAAATTGCTCACTAGAAATTAAATTAAAGACATCTAATATTTAATGAATTGAGCAGCAAATAAAGTATTGGAGGGAATCTAGATCAAATTGTACGAGCCTTATAGGAAAATTTTGATCTATATTGTCCCTTTTTTGAGAAAAAGAGTGAGCAGATTAACATTACGTAGGGAAATACTGATTACAATCAGTAGAAAAAAAAGCCTTAAGCTCTGAGGGAGGGGGGAAGGGGACAACCCACCCAACTCAAAGGAAGTGAGTTAGAAAGCGTCAAGGTTGCCACCTAGTGAGCTGCTTTGTTAAGAGCCCTAGGTTTGTGAACAAATCTTAAATTAAGACCCTTAGCACAACGCCTAATATCACTAACAAAAACACTGATTTCCCATGGGAGAATATCTTCAGTTGAATCCAATTTGATAACCTCCATATTGTCACTTGCAATAGTCACATGTTGTAACCCAGATGCATAGGCCAACAAACACGCCTCATGAACAACAGTAGCTTCCGAAAATCGACTGGAAATAGCCGGAATATGCTTGGCAATCCCAGCCTCCAACGTCCCATTACAACCTTTAAGAATCACCCCTACTGCTGCCTTGCCCTTCTTGAATGCATCGTCATAGCACAGAGAAAGGGGTTGCGTCAATCTAGGACCATGCATATTGATATGAGGCGAATCAACCTAATGCACCTCCTGCCTCCCTATAGCAGAACAGAGCGTCTCTGACCACAAGTGCTGAGACCACAATAAAGTGACAAGGGCATTAGGAACTTCATGATTAAACACAAACTTATTTTTGGAATTCCAAATGGCCCAACCAATCGTAGCCACGTGCCCCATAAATTCAAAAGAATCTGATATTTTCTTGAAATTATCCAAGAAAGCCGAAACCCACATTAAAATCGAGACACAAAACTCCCTGCTCCAATCACAAACCCAAATCAGACCCAAACCAAACCTTTTTTGTCCATTCATATTCAAAAAGAATATGCTCAATAGATTCAATGTTATCACCACAAATAAGACACCAAGGAGAATCGACACACTTTCTTTTAAATAAATTCTCACGTGAAGCCATAGCATTGTTGCAAACTTTTCACCAAAAGTGTTTGATCTTAGGAATGACCATCATATTCCATACAACAGACCAGAGTTTGGGATGAGGAGAAAAAGAGGAGCAAGGAAGAAAAGTAGAAGAAGGTTGTAGACTAACAACAAGAGAATAACCAGACTTAACCGAATACATACCTGTAGAAGTCAGTCTCCAAATTTGCCTATCAACACCAAGAAATTTTGGAATTAGAATAGCAAGAATAGGCTTACACTCTTTCTCATTTAGAATCCCTCTGATGAGCCCATAATTCCATTACCTATTGTGCTAAGAGATTAATTGATTGACCCAGAGAATATTACAGTCTTGAGGTCTGGAGGGTCGCACTACACCATCTTTAAATTGGGGAATCCACTTATCCTCTCAAATACTAATCTCATTGCCTTCCAAACTTTGCCAAAAAAGCCCTCTTTCAAGAACATCTCTTCCCTTTAACAAACCATTCCAAACCCAAGAAGGCTTCGCCCCCTTCTTACCCTTCATGAAATCACCAATAGGGAAGTAAAAAGATTTGATGAATCTTGCCCAAAAGGAATCAGGATTATGAATTAATTGCCAACACTGTTTAGCAAGTAACGCCTGATTAAAGAGATAAAACTCTTTGAAACCCATCCCTCCTCTAGCTTTTGCTTCCACCATCCTATTCCAACCTTTCCAGCTAATTCCTCACTTATCCCTTCCACCCCCACCAAAACCTCCTTACATACTTATTGATTTTGTCACAAAAAGATTTAGGGAAAACAAGGACCGACATAGCATAATTTGGAATTGATTGGATGACCGCCTTGATTAAAACTTCTTTGTTAATTGGAGAGAGGAACAAACTCTTCCACCCTTGCAACTTCTTCAAAATACACTCAAGAAGATAACCAAACAATTCACTCTTTGCATTGCCATACAAAAAGGGCAAACCCAGATACTTAATTCCTCCATCCAATGGCCTTAACCTCAGCAGTTGACCAAACAAAAATTTTTGCTCATCGGTGGCATTTGTAGAAAATATAATACCTAATTTTTTGTGATTCAAACACTGACTAGAGGCAGAACAGTACCTATAAAGAACACCCATGACATTAGAGATGTCCGGAACCTTCGCTTTAAAAAATAAGAAAGAATCATTTGCAAAGAAAAGATGGAAAATAGCAGGAATACCTCTTCGCACTTTGACATTTGAAAATTTTCTCTCTTCCACCCCTTTCTGTAACATAGAGGATAAAACATCAGCAACCAAGATGAACAGATAAGGAGAGATGAGGTCCCCTTGTCGAATACCTCTATGTGGGATGACCTCACAACGTTTTTCCCCATGGATAATGATCTGGAAACTCACATTGCTGACACTCTGGATAATTAGCTGCACCCATATGGAACAAAACCCCAACTTAAGCAACATCGCCTCCAAAAAGTCCCATTCAATTCTGTTATATGCTTTACTGATATCCAATTTGATTGCCAAATCTGGAACCTTACCTTTCTTTTTTAGCCTCATAAAGTGGAGAACCTCATTCGCAATGATGATGCTATCTTGAATTTGCTTATTAGGAACAAAAATAACTTGTTGAGGAGAAACAATGGAAGACATCAAACCTTTCATTCTATTGGCAAGGACCTTGGAGATCACCTTATATAAAAAATTGCATAACACAATAAGTTAAACTAAGAAATCTTTCAGGCGACTCCTCCTAAGGAATGAGGACTATGTTTGTCTTATTTAGGTCACTCAACATGAATCCCCCATCAAAAAACTCTTTACAACCCTACCCACTTCATCCCTCACAATATGCCAATAAGAATGGAAAAACATACCAGGAAATCCATCAGGACCAGGAGCCTTAAGAGCTCCCAATTGCATGACTGCCTTCTTGACCTCTACATCCTGGATCAGCTGAAGCAGCCTGTCATTCATCTCCTATGAAATTTTCCTTTCCACTGGCTCCAAAATTATGATAATAGGGCAATGGCTCGAGCCTACCCTTGCCTCATGAATAACTTGCATATGGGGGTAACACAAACTCCAAGCCGGATTAACCAAGACTCTATTCAATTTTTCTTGCACATTTGCTTTATCTGGCCTATTATTAGACCACATAAATTTTGGCCTTTTAAAATTCATATTAATCAGGTTACATTCATAAATAAAATTTTGTAGTTCTTCCATCTTTTTAGCTCTACATGTTCTCCCCCTTCCTTCTCCAATAAAGACCTAACAACATTAAAGTCACTAGTGACCAACCACGCCCCTTCAGACACAAAGGCAATACTTTTCAAATCATGCCAAATTATTTGCCTCCGATCAAAATCATTATCACCATATAGAAAAGTACATTGCCACTCTTGTTATTAGTTTAGCCTTCTGCCCACAACATTAAAAAAATTCTTATTCTTACTATCAATACGCAACTTAATGTCATCCTTCCACCATAAAGCCAATCCCCCCAAAAGACCCCTAGGTTCAACATACTCACCATATTGAAAATTCAGACTCCTCAACCCTTCCAGTTTCTGAGATCCATTCTTAGTCTCTATGAGGAAGACTATAGAAGGACGATGAATGTCAACTAACCCTCTCAAATTATGAATTATCCAGGGTTGCTCCACTCCTTCATAGTTCCAAGAAAGAATTGACATGAAGATTGTGGCTGTTTAAGCCCAGCCACTGCTGCCCTTTTTGGAACCATATCATCATTGACATTTTGAATAAATTTGCTTGGGGTTGTAGAAATCCACTGGGAAAAACAAATATCAAGATTATTCTCACCTTGTTCCTCTTGAATCTCTACTGGTCCTTGATCTCCTTACTCTGCTAAAATGGCAAAAAAGATTTTGGAGTGAGTCAGTTGCCTCTTTCTTCTTCCTCTTCCTTCCTTAGAGCATCGAATAACCCTATTAGTCCGTTGCTTACGCCTTCTTTTATTCTGAGCATGATCTAGGTGAATATCTTCCTGTATCTGGAAAACAAGATTAACTCTTTGCTCAATCAAAAGACTCTTTTCTCCCTTCTATTTCTTACTTGGTCCAGCGTCTCCACAATACTCCTTCACTGGCTGTTCCTTTCTCTTTAGTCCTAGCGATTGAAATTTCCTCTGCAGTTTCTCCTTTGCAATCAGCACATTAGCCCCCAATCTAATTAATTGAGCCCAAACTCCACCAACCCCAATTGATTGGGCTTTAGCCACATTTAAGTCTCTATTAGCTTTTGGGCTCTTCGCAGGTTCCATCACAAAATAATTACAACCCCCTATGCTTTTTCCACCAATTGGGATTCAAAGGATGTTGTGGCTATAATAGGCCCATAATCGTTTGGACAATATCTGTCACCCACTTTCTCCTTTAATTAGATTCCTACTCTTTTATAAACGGTGAGATCCAAACCTCTCTCCATAGTAGGTAAAGAGGTACATGTCTGATCTTGAGTAGGTAAATCATCATGTGGCTGCATAAGTGGTGCCTTTCCACTTGGTAATACCCCCTCAACTCTTATCAAATCTGTAGCTATAGCCATATCCTGACACACTGGTAGATGTTTTTGTGGTATATTTTTTCCCGACTTGAAAATGTTGTCCTTACTAAAGTATAATATATATATATATATATGTTAAATTGATTTATTGTCTTAATTCACTACAGTCATTAGATTACAAAAATATATATAATAAAGTAGCTAGATTATTTATCTTGAACTTTTTGCGGCTCAGATTGTTTGAGGAGATTATTGATTCGACAGTCCTCATGCGAAATTTTTCTGACACTTCTTTCTCTCATCTAATTCTCTCTCTGTATCTGATATAACTCTCTCTCTCTCTCCCTAGTTGGACTTTCATTCCTTTTACAACTTTAAGACTCCTATCTCTCATATAACGCTTTCTTTCTCTATCTCAAACTCTCTCTCCTATCTCTCACATTTTAAACACTATATATATCTATGATAAAATACATCTAATACTCATTAAAACTCTAATAACAAGGATTAACTCTAACAAACTATAGGTTCATTAATATATGTCATCCTATAAATATCTATTTATATCTATATCTATATGATCCTAAATGAATTTTCATTTATTTTATATCTGTCTCTCTTTCTCCTATCTCTCACACATTTTAAACACACACACTCTCTCTCCTAAACCCATAATAATAAAGTAAAAGGAGTTGAAAAGTTTAGCTTGGACGGCTATATATATCCAATAATAACAAAATACATCTAATACCCATTAAAACTCTAATAACAAGAATTCTCTAACAAACAATTTAATACAACTCTCTCTCTCTCTCTCTCTCTCACATACTCTCATCTTTTATACATTTACCTCATCTCTCATATAAGTCTCTCTATCTATCTCATACTCACACACTCTCTCTCTACACCCGCTAACACACGCCAATATTGACTCCTACCCAAAAAAGAAAGATATTTTTTAGGTATAATGATTAAATATATAAATTGTGTATATGTTGATATTTTTTAGGGGTCGTGTTTTTAAAGAAAGTTGTGTCAACTTTTTTTTTAGAAAATGGTGTTTTCAAATTGATTTTGAATTGTGTAACTAAAGAAAATAATGAAAAATAAAGTACTATTTGAAAATATTTATATTACATAATCGGTGCTCAAGGTTTTTTGAATTACTTAGTGCTTTCAGGCACAAATTATTATTAGTGTTTCAATATTGAATGAAGTCTATTGTTGTGCGGGAATAATTTCAAACAAAGAGTAACCATTTTGTACGGCTGGAGAAGGTGGTGAAGAAGCCTCATGGAACTTGCAAGACAAGAGAATACCTAGGTGAATCGATGGCTAGAGGCGGCCAAAGAGACTCTAATACTTAAGTCAGATCATAAGTCAGAGAGTAGTATTGAGTGAATTGACTTAGATTGAATGAATTACTTGGTACCCGAAACCTTTATTTATAGTGGTATAGGAATTAATGTTCCATATGGACTCGAATTCTAAGTTGTGATAAGATATACCTCATTTCCAATCCCCTAGACATTCGAGGTAGAATCGTACTAGAATGTTGTGTCCTAGATTGTAGGAAGGGATGTGCCTGCCAGGAGGTGTTGTTGATCTCATCATTAGTCCCTTGATACTCAGAGTAGTATTTGGTTAGGACCCTAGGTCCTCAATTGATTCTTAGTTGGGTAGGAGTCTCATAGCAAAGGTGAGCAAGAGAGTTCACAGTAACGTAGGTAGCAAGGAGGTAGCTTATTTGTGGAGGCCTCTGGTTGCCAATAGGCTCAAGTTAGGTCTTTCCCTAAGTGGGTGACGACCGACTCCTTAGGTGGGTTTGGGTATTAGACGTGGTTGAACAAGTATCTCCCTCGAGCGTCGTCTGATAGGTGGCTTGCCCTTGTTAGTGCCGACTGGTAGTAGCAAGTGCTTGGTCCTTGCTAGTGCCAACTGTCAACCCAACTTTTAGTTAAGCCTGTCAATCGTGTTGGGTGAGGCAAACTCGTGTCGGGTGTTTGCGAGTTCGTATTACGGGTGGGTTCATATCAAAACAACTCATACCCGATTCGTTTATTGATTTGTGTCTAAATAAATCGTGTCATATTAGGTTCGTGTTGTGTATAAATCGTGTATAACTACTATATAAACGAGTCGTGCATGCATTTTTTTTTAATTGATTTCACTTATATCCGATTTATTTATTACTCATGTCATGTCGAATTCACTCATTTACGAAATGAGTGACTGAAGAAACATCAAAACCCTCTAATTTAGTATCTTATTAACAGATTGTATCATATTTTAACACCCCTAAGGCCCTAACTGTAGTGAATTAAACCAAGAAATTAAGTTAATAAATTACATTTGAATAGCAATATTCCAATATATATTCTTATGTTTCAAAGGTAGTACCTTTTTCACCGGATAAGCAGGCAATGGCTGAAGAAAATTTGAAGGAGTTGGATAATCCGTCATGGCTGTGTATAACCACGCAGTGCTAAGCCAACTCTCGAGATAATTTACACTAATAAAATTCCTGTGGGGCAAAAATGAGAAAATTCAATTCTTATGGGACCAAGTAGAAATTAATATAAGTAAACAAAAAGCATAAATTATGGTCTTACTCGCATATTCTAAACGATTTTCGGAGTAACTCAGGTCCACCCGACCGATTTGCAGTGTCTTCAATTAGTTGCCATGATCCTTTCAGGACTTTATAGCAATTCTCACTCTCGCTCTAGTTTTTCCACCGTCATATAAAAACAATTAGGCATCAACAAGGTTTCAAATTTATAATGAAGGAATTTTTTTTTAGAGAAACTTACGATTCGACCCCCGCCTATTGATAACAATAAAGTTTATAAACGTTACAAGCTAGTTTAGACCGAGTTAAGAGGGCATGTGGACTCAATTATGGTGCAATATGCTTGTGATTCTATGTGCAATGGTTCCAACTAAGAATGACAGTGGACTGGGGCGGGGAGTAGCCTTCATCTCGTACCTGATTCAAAAATATTAGTTCACCTCCATTAGCAAGAGAAATTTCAATCTCTGTCCTCACCTTGCGGGTAATTTTTGATTCCCGTTCCCATCTTACTACCCGCCCATAATAATTAATTTTTATGATCTTAAGAATTTTTTTTTAAAAAAATTATAAAATCTCACAAATGAATTTACAAGAAGAATGAAAACTCATTATATAACAAAATAAATCAAATATTAAAACTCACAAAAATAATATGTAAAACTAATGTGTGTTTTACTTGATTATTT